AGTGTAACAATTTCAGTTTGTGATTTCTTGTGTCCAATTTTTGTACCGTAAAGCGAAAGTAACAGCGTTACGGTTTTTGCAGTAACTGTAACACGTTACTTTTTGAAACCGGTAACTAACTGTAACAGAGCTACTTTTCCCTCCTATGTAACTGTAACACCGTTACTTTTTACTGGTAACGTGCCCATGACTGGGTGACACAAACTATGGGAAGCGCAAGTTCGTCTGCTTCTTGCACACGGGTTGCTATAATGTCGGAACGCCAAACTCTTATTGACTGAATGAAAAAAAAATAGTGAATAGACCTCGAAGCATTTAGTAGTGAGGTCTACCCACTATCCTACGAATCAAAGCCAATCAGAACTCGGCATCGTTCTGACGTCACTGCAAACCGTTGCGCAAGAAGCAGACGACTTGCTCTCCACAACTTGTGTGCAGTTTCTTTAAGGTAATAGCGAAGTATGCATCTTTGTTGCTGTTTCCTGGTGACCGTCTTCAAATAAAGGGCTCTAGCCTCCAGCAACATGTTCACCAGTAAAAACAACAACAAAAAAACTCGAAACTTTTACCTTTGAGTATTTGGGCGCCATACAACTTTTTTCTGGCGACGAGATGGTGCGTGTACGTCCCCGTACTCTGTTTGTTCCACTCTAAGTGCGACCGCAGCCGTCGTTTTTTTTTATTTTTTTTTTTATTATCTGTTTGGACAAGAGAATACAAAAGTAATCACAATGTTATAATCACATGCACGACGTGGGGTGAGCGACATGATAGTTTAAAATTCCTTCACATTCTCCAGAACATCAAGAAGGGACACCCAATCAGGAGGGCAGATCATTGTGGCGTACACCAATTTCAGTCTGTGGACACTTTCTATAAAATACGACCGTACAGGGCGCGCGTTAACATCAGCGTGCCGCACAGCCATTCTGCTCTGCCATATTGCATGCAGGCCCAAGAGCATGACCAAATCTACAGGGATATCATCATGTTTTGCTACAGGAAGGAACCTTATGCCGTGTGGCGATAGGGCCGAGTCTTTTTTAAGAGTTCGCTGGAGAACATCCCAAAAAAGAAAGGCATCCCAGCAGTCTAAGAATACATGTTCCACAGTTTCAGGCTTTTTGCACAGAAAGCAGTGAACACCCCATGGTACAAAAATATTTTTCTGTTCGAGCCAAGTTTTCACTGGAAGCGCGTTTGTGTGTAGCTGAAAGAAAAATGTTTTTATGGAAGGCTGGACGACCACCTTTTTAACCCTGCCCAAAACATCGTGTCCGGGCCTGCATGGAACATAGAACGATACACTGGTTCGGGAAAAACACTTTCAATAATGTCACGCGATAGACGCTTGCGCGTGACAGTAGACAAATATTCCATGGAAAAACGGACACACAAGAAAAGGTACGCGTCTACCACTTCGCTCAGAAAACTACAAATTCTACGCTGTTGGCGACAATACGTGGAAACGACAAAAGAAGGAATATCCTCTGGCAGTCTTGTCTGAATGATAGTGCGAAGGAAAGGATTACTTTGGTCCCTAAGAAACAACGCGAAACTATTTGCTTGATGAACACATGTGATAATGAAAGCCCTCCTTTACTCACGCGACGAAACAGATTATGGCGACATACTTTTTCCCGCCCGGACCGCCAGATGAACACAGCAAAGATACGATGTAGTTTTTGCATGTTTACTCGAGCGCATGCCAAAACTTGAAGACCGTACCAAAATTTAGCTACTAAAAAAATATTACAAACAGTGGCGCGCGTAAAGATAGCCATCTCCCACCCTCCCCATTTACCAGCTTTCTCGTGCGTTTCCTTAACTACCGTCGACCAATAAGCGTTAGACCTTTTGTAATGTTGTATTGGAACACCCAGATATTTAGGCGGGGTGGTCATAAAACTTATGTCCTGAAAAACGTCGGGTTTCGTGGCCCATGTACCGTGCCAGAGGCCACGACACTTCTGCCAGTTAACTGCCGCTCCGGTCAGTTCACAGCTTCGGCAATACTACTCTTATATTTACAAAATAGAGCAACATCATCTGCGTACGACAAAAGTTTGACTTCGATATTATGAAGGGAAAAACCAATAATCTTACTATTTTTTATTACTTTTCTACAAAACGGCTCCAAATAAATACTAAATAACAATGGAGATAAAGGGCATCCTTGCTTAACTGATGAGTTAACCCCAATACGGGTGGTTGGCTTACCGTTGATTATAAGCTGTGTAGTGCACCCCGTGTACGCCATTTGAACAAAGCTAATTAGAAGTTCGCCTACTCGTACATACTCTAATATTTTGTAAAGTACCTGATACTGCACACGGTCAAATGCCTTCTCCAGATCAATCCGGAGCATGGCAACCTGATCTAGATCTTCATCGCAAAGCTCTAGTATACTCCTCGCAACGTGAACATTTGTTAAAATGGACCTCCCTTTAATTCTACATGTCTGATGGTCCCCTACGATTTCACTTATGACGTTTTGCAATCGGCGGGCTAATACTTTCATTAATATTTTATAGTCGACATTGCCAAGTGCTATAGGCCTGTAATTCTTTATATTTTTTAGCTTGCATTCCTCATCCTCCTTGGGGATAAGTACCGTATGCGTGTTCATTAATGACGGTGGTAATTGCTTCGTCTCATATGCCTCGGTTATTACTGCGGGAAGGTGCTTGGTGGCGACATGTTTATATTTCTTATAAAAAGCTGCAGTCAAACCGTCAGGACCCGGAGATTTCTTTGTCGCCAGTTCGCCAATCGCTTTCTCGATCTCAACCACGCTTATCGGCTCGTCCAGTCGCTCCTTTATCTCGTCGCTTAGCCGCGGCATCACTGCAAGATAATCAGCGAGCTGCGAGTCACTCCCGTGCCTTTTGTGCGCGAAGAGGTTGCGATAATACTCAGTAAATGCCTTTTCTATGACATCGGGACGACTGCTGAGCAAGCCACTGTGTTCTATTTCTACAATTTGTTTCTTTTTCACATATTTCGCCTCGGCGCTCAATGCCCGTTTGGTTGGTTGTTCACCAAGAATGTATTTCTCAGCGCGAGCACGTATCAGAGCCCCTTGATATTTCTCTAATTGCGCAATATTGTCCTTGACTTGCTTAAGCTGGGCCTCAAACCCTCCCGGATTTTCGCTCTCGAGGTGACATAGTCTACGGAGGTCTTCCTTTAGTAGCCTTTCCTCGGCCCTCTTCCAATAGGCAAGCGTGGCGGAACGTTCCATAGCACATAATTTCACCTCGCGTTTAAACCACCCCCATCGCTCGCTCGCGCTGAGACTTACATTCAGCATTCTGCTGATTAAGTTATCCACCATCTCATTAAACAATTCATCTTCGAGGACGTTGTTGTTAAGTTTCCACAGATCCCAACAAAACCTAGATTTCATCTTTTTCCCTCCCACAACAAAAAACACCAGTGCATGGTCAGAAAAATAAACTGGCAACACATTATAATCATCAAATCCAGTTAAAAGTTCAATTGACACATATACTCTGTCAAGGCGAGCATGACTCTTGGACTGAAAATGGGTGAACCATAAATTTGCGTAACTTCTTTGATAATTTGCAACATCTTGTAAGGTAAATTCCGTTGTCATTTCGTTTAAAATTCTTGTACTACTATCGGAGTGTCGTGTTCTACTAGTACGATCCCTCGCGTCGCAAACGCAGTTGAAGTCCCCCAACATAACAAGTTTTCGTTGACAGTCTAAAAATGAATAAATGCGCTCAAAAAACTTTTTCCTTGCATTTGTTTCGTTCCGCGCGTACAGATTTATTATTCTATACTCAACATTGTTAATACTGCAATCAGAGATAACAAACCGACCATCGCTGTCAACTATTACAGATTTGACAAGTGCATTTAAAGATTTCCTTAAAAACAACATACAACCTCCTTAAAAACAACATACAATTTCAAAACTGTGCAAAAACGGCGCCAGCAGGAGTGCGATGTCTTCCTCGCCTTCTACCTTGGTCTCCTGACCAAGGTAGACCGAACATGATGCAGCAGAAAGCACATATGGACGGCACGCAGGGCACAGACGAACGACACAGGGACGAGCAGGGGCCATGCAGAATGATGCAGAGGCGACGGCGTGCAGGCAGGCAGGCCATGGCAGGCGCCATTCATCACGTGGTATTTGTGACGTATTAGATTTAAACTATTTAGTTGTTTTAAGTATTTTAAACAATTTTAAAACATTGCCATTTAAAAAATAAACACTTTTCACAGAAGGAGTTTTAATTATTTTAACCAAATTGCAGAAAAGCGCCACGTAGCGGAGGGTATTAAACGCACTATCTGGGCCGCGAATCGGCTCCTGTGTCTTCTCTTTACGTTTACTATATTACTCTATGCGCTCACTTCGAGTGCCGGAAGAAGAATCGACCGCAGCCGTCGTTGCTGGTCCACTGGACTCAACCAGGCAACGCCATATGTGCAATGTCACGGCGTTAGTCGTTTTTTTTTTGTTTTTTTTTTTGCGTTTTTTATTTGTGGTTAAGTCAATCACGCACAGCAAATGCCCCACGATCCGGCGTTTTTTTTTTTTTTTTTTTTTTTTTTCTTTTTTATGCGGGATTGGTTTAGTCGATGATAGCAGACCCAGAAAGACGACGATCACCGTGACGGTGCACGTTTAGTGCTGATGGATTGGCACCGTCGGATGTCGCATCTGTTCGCCAGAATATTCCATACAACCTACACCTTTTTTTTTGTGTGTGTGTTCATGAATCTAGATTACGGGCTCTATCGTAAACCTAGCTATACACGAACGAACGTGTCCGTCATGCTACAACGATCGCCTTGATATATGGCACGTAAGAGATGTTATATCGCGTCACATGACGAAGAAAAGAAGGCGTATCCTGAACCACGTTATAAAAGTCAGCTTCTTTCGCAGTTTACGAACATTTGTTATTGTATCGGGCAGGGTGCAAGTGGTTTTGGGGTACTCTGCAAAACATAGTCCGACAATGATCCAGGTTATCCTCATTGCCACCGTACTGCAAGGTAAGTACACTTTCTATTAGCCGTTCTTAAGGTGAATGTTAACGATAATTTGCATCTATTTCCAGCTCTATGTCATGCAGAGTCTGCCGCAGCCCTAGGAACGCCTTCAGCGAGGCACGAAGCCGTGAATTTTACAGTACCGCAAACTAGTTCGGTTCCTGAGGGAGGTTCAACCACGAAAGCTGTTCCGAAATTGCCGACCACACCAGCGCACAACAGCGTCACAGTAGCCGAGAACTTCCGAAACGCCACAACCTCAACGACTATGCGACCGTCCGCAGAAACTGCGCCTACTTTCACCACGAAGGTAACAAGACCGGAAGAAACTACGGGCAAATTCATGATGCCCGCCGTAGACGCCTTGGTGGCCGAAGATGCAGCATCGTTTTCAACTTCGGGCGCCGACTCTGCCGGCCAGTCCTCGGTGCCAGGAGCCTGGTCCTCCTCCGAAACTTCTCCTGCCCCAACGACAAGCGCCTCGACTCGAAGCGTCGTCGAAACTTCAACGACTGACCGATCAGCGTACGATCCTCTTGCTGAACTCGTGCGCGCCTTCTTGCATCCTGAGCTGAGAACCCGTACGCCAGACTACGAGGGCGACTTCGGGGATTCCCAGATGCACCAGGACGCACCCTTCCACACGAGCGACGGTGAGGCGGTCCCGTTGAAATCGAGCCGCAAGGATCATCATGACGACGAGGTGACCTCGACCGCCGAGGCACCCGCCTACGACATGAGCAAGGAGCGGTACTGCACGGCAGCCCGGTACTGCTACAAGGAACTCAACGAACGCTGCATCACAAGGCGTATGAGGACCGTCTGCGGCTGCGGACGTGCCTTCGTCAGGAATCCCGAAACTTTCACCTGCGAACGTGAGTGAGGGCCACTTGGTTTGTAGCATAAAACATTGTGCGGCAATATTTCGTCTGCTACGTTCCAGTCAATCGCAAAACCAACACATAAGGAAAAATGTTCTAAACATTACAGAAATGTTCATTAGGTTGATGTTTATGTTGTGTTTTGTATGCATCCTTGTTTGCGTCCCTCGTAAATCTGGCGAGCGTAGTTGCTTTCACCTTCGCTACCTTCCTCCGCACGTTGATGGCTTTGGGTCTAGGCAATACCACCTAGAACACAAGGCCTGCGCGTTTCCTCCTCTAAACGTCATCACTAGTAGATCCCCTCAGCGCCCCCTAGCTAGCCCGGATGAGCGACATCGTCTGCTACATCGTCTGCTCCATCGCCTGCTTCAGTGGTTTGTGTAACAGATAATGAAACAGATGCTCACGCCGAGTGTCTCTTGCAAATATCATACGACGAAGTTAGACGTTCACGTAAAGCGTCGAATGCATGAGCGAAATTGCCTTGCTGCTGCGCGAAGGGCTGAAAAGCCCTTCGTTGGACGCTGGACGCTGACACTGGACGCCATTTTCGAGGGCGCTGTTTATACCTCGGGTAGCTGCTTCGAAGCGTTCTACCGCAGAACGAGCGCGCGCGCTAGAAATGCGCGTCTCAAAGCCAGGAGCGCGTGCTAGCTCGCGCTCCTGGCCGAGGGAGCGTTCGCGTGCACGTCGCAAATGCACTGGAAGCTCGCTATCAGCTCGCGCTCAGCAGTCACGCACACAGCTGCGGCCGCAAATGAATGCGACGTAGTTGCGACGCGGCCCCTACTCTCGTCAAGCTTCGGGGTGTTTGCCGCTTGGGGCGGGTCGGGGATCTACTGACGAAACGTCATGCGCAGGCCTTGTCTTCTAGGTGGTATTGGTCTAGGCCAGGGACGTTTCTTAGCGCGGCCCCATCTTGCCGACTAAGGCGCCGCCCTGCGTGCATTTCGCGGGGACTGCGGTTTAGCAGGAGGCGCAATGCCGTCCAGGGTCTTTATAAACTCGTCAAACACGAAGTTGGGGCCGAAGTTCACGGAGAGCACCGATTGGACTATCCCGACGATGACTTCGCACTTTCGTCGCCGACGCCCAATAGACGCGCTCAGCGAACTTTGTGTCTGGCTTGTAGGTTTGCCTTTGGCAGCTGCTGCTGAGAGGGAGTTCGTGCGGCCGAGGTGAATTTTTGAGCAAAGAGTTCGCACATCCAGCCTAATAGTGGTATTGCCGTTAAGCTTGATTTGCATAAAAGGGCCGAAAAGCAAATATTTAGACCAAGCAATACTCAACGAAAGCCGAATAGCCTTTCGTAAGCGACAAGGATCGCACTTCATTCGGTTGTTTTATTGTTTTTCTTAGGGGAAGGGGGCCCCTAAAAAACAAAAAAACAATAAAACAACCGAATAGCGTACTGTCATCATTATCGCTTACGAAAGGCTATTCGGCTTTCCTTCGTTCTTGCGAGTATTAGAAACTTTCAGCGAACCGTTTTCCGCGTACCACACTGCCGGAGCCTTTCAAGCATGCTTTTAAGGGCGCGCCCTGCGGTCACCGTGTCCCCCCGGGAGGGCGCTTAAAAAGCATGCTTCACAGGCTCCGGTAGTGCGGTGCTTAGAGCCATAGCCGAGGTTATGGCAGAACATAACGGTTTGCTAAAAATAGTGCGTTCTTTTCATAAAAGGCGGTCCGCGCGCGTCTCGCATATTACCAAATCAACACCGCAAAATTTTTGCGAAATTTTCGTAGTACGGAGAATTCTCGTGTGGGTATAGAGCCTGGTAAATGTCCGAAATCTTGCTTCAGGCGTTCCTTTAAGCATGTTTTCATTTTTTCTCTTCCTCCTTTGTTTCTGGCTCGCAGGTAAGCTGCCACTTATCACCTCATTGGAACTGCCCCACCAGTCCTACGTCCAGGAGGTGGCTGACAAGAAGTCTGGGGAATTCCGGCGCTTCGAGTCGGCCAGCCAACACCTGGTAAGGGAAGAAGCCGAGCCCCTGGCCTTTCCTCCTCTTGCGAGCTACGAACCTGACGACCAGGTGCTCTGGAAGCTATACGACTCCGACTTGAACACCACCCCTCAGCCAGCAACCGCTGTTCCCTAGCGCGTTGTCTCGACGTCGCGCCGACTATTAGTGGCTGTTGCAGCCTGCTTGACCCTGACCCTCCGTTAACAGTTTATATAATAAAGACTAAGCCAAGCGTAACTCTGGTTTCCTGTTTCACTTTCGTTCCAACCATAGGGGCAGTCGCCAGTCTCCGCTCTTTCGATCTGCAGCTTCCGTTCATGGCTTCACTCAAAATTGCACGTGATGGGCCCGTATCTGTTGCAGAATGTGGCGTGCAAGGCCATACCCGCCAAATTAACGGATCTATAACCATGAGTCTTTGCACATGTTCCACCGTGAATTTTTAAATCTGTTATCTGTTAATGTTAGTCTACGGAGAAGCGCAACCTCCGAGTATTTTTAGGTTGCGCGAACGCAGACTGGTCCTTGCATCAGTGCCTTATCGTGGCGTGAAAAAGCAGGTCAGCTAGACTACGCGCGTGTGGCAGAAGGCACATGCCTAACCTCGCTGGCTCGCTGTTTCACGCCGCTATAAGACACTGATCTGGTGTTCGCGCGATATAAAGTTTGGAGGCTGTATATGCTGAAACATGTAATTGTTGGTGCGAAAGTATCAAAGCCTGCAGATGGAAGCCCAGCCCAAAAGATATTACACGCTTATGTCAGGTAAAAATTACATGACTCCAGAAAGACTAAGGTTTTCCGGATGGCTGTGAAATTCACTCCGCCTAATCTTAAATTGACCTGCAACAAAGACTACAACAAATGGAACCCTCTAAATATGCCGCCCTCGCTTGTAGTTTGCACTGTAGTTCACATTATGATGGAGCAGAGTACAGAAGCTCCATTTCTATATGCTCGATAACTCCTAGCTTAAACCTCCTGCTTTCCCGGTCGTGAAATACATATAGGATTTTGTGTGAGTAATCTAGGAAACCTTTATTCCAGCTCCTGCCAAAGATCGGAATCGGGAATCAACTGATTGAAGCAGCCTTCAAAAAAAATATTGCCAGATAACTTTGCACTTTCACCGGCGCAGTTCATACTCCGTAAAGGGGAATAGATCCGTTGCATCGGTTAATATTTTGTGTGAGCCTCGGGTTCTGCACTGTCGGGTTGAACATGCCCTTTTTGTGCATTATATTATATACTCAAGGGACCAGTGGTCTCATTTCAATAGAGCAGGTGCCAATGTTTCCATTTCAATAGAGCAGGTGCAGATATACCTCCTTTCGAAAGCATGCAGGTCGTATACGTGCTCCTCTTGAAATGCTGAAAGCCGACAGTATCATATATGTAACCCTTGACGTGCACCTCCTGCAGTGACTGCTGTTTCATACTTCGTGTACTCCATTTAGTGCTCTCAAAGCTGCGGGAGCTCGCGTAATAGTCTACTGAACATTGACGTTTTGTTGTTGTCAAGACTAGCGTTCTTTCCACAGTGCTGCACCCTGCAGCATGCTGGGAGAAACGAAGCGCGGGGCTTCTTCTTCGAACGCCTTCTCGGGGAAGGAGACTTCGAACGAAGTCACGTGCTCGTGCGAGTAGCTCTGACGGCGTTGGAGCACAGCGGAAAGCATTGGAGCATTGCTGATGTGGCAGAAAATAGCCTAACGTCAAGCACAAAACGAAGTATAAGTTCAAACCAATTACGAACGTATGACGAGATGTGCGAAAGCAAGGGCGCCCGTAGCTTTGATTTGCACCCGAAAGTTATCCCGGAGGAGCTTGGAGTACATGTACGCTTGTGGGGTAGCAGTTTCACAGTGGCCCTGACTCGTGCACCCCTCGCCCTGCTATAGTTGTAAATTTATATGCCCACAGAATCGGCTGAGTCGCAACTTCAGACGATTAATTCACAAGTGTTATATTGTTCGTTCGCTCGTTCTAGATATCGGTCCTCGTAAGAGTTAAGTGAATGAGCAACAACTCTTGTCAGTCTGCAAATTCTGATCGCAGGCATGAAGATGGAACTTCTTTCTCATTTACTCTACCGTCTTTCATTCTTTCGTAACAGATGTGGGACTTGGTTCTTCATTCACCGATGCTGTGGACTTGGGTCACCGACATCAAAGTGACCGGGTTCCGAGCTGGCCTGCTGATTAGGAGCAAGCTCGTGGTTCCGGCGTCGTTTACCTCGCGTTTTGGCCGCAACGTGTCAGCCACTCTCCACGAGCAATTTCAGAGGAGCATTGCGGTCAATCGAACTACAGCTGGCTCGTTTCTCAATATCACGGGAATAAAACTCGTCGCCGCGGACATTGGTGAGTGGAACAACCTTTTTCCGTTTCAAAAACGTTGCGATACCCGGATACTCCTCTTACAATTAACGTCGGTCTCAATTTTTCACGCAAGCTTCAGTAGCAGGGATGTGTACAAAGCGGTTCACTTTTTTTTCTTATTTAGATTCTATGCGTCCTACTTGTGCGCACAACTTATCGACTCTTGTTGGATTGTTGTTGGCACGTGGTCAGTGCCAACAACCATATTCGTTACTCCCTAAATTTCATACAGTTAATATAATAATCAAGAGGGAAATGTCCCATGCGTTTCAACCACTTCGAAACGGCGGGACACGGCGTGGTTCCGATGGGATCAGATTGCTGACGACGCTTTGATAGACACAAAGCGGGAAAACGTCGCTTGCAAGATCTGTATCTAGTGTTCCTCTGGCTTTATTTCGCACAATTTCACCGGCGTCGTCCACTGTATAAAAAAAGAATAAGGATATGACGAGCACTCGGAACTTAACTCGTCGCGGCAAAACGAGCCCGACTAACCCATCTTCTCCCTCCACATTTTCCTCTCTCTTGACTGCCGATGTTCAGCGCTTAGAATTCGCCGCGTTCTGATACCATTTTACCACTTCGTAAAAAGTAGAATATGGCTGACTCGGTTAGCCTAAATGAGAAATGCGATTGTCCTTGCATTTCTGATCAGGATCGAAACCACTACCGCTTGAGACCGCCCTACACATTTTCTCTGTGCAAGTTACAAAGGATGCATTTGAAAGGATTCCATTTTTGAAAACCTTCAATTCATGGTGCAGTAGCTTCCACTCCCACATGTTTAATGGAAATTCTAAATCGGAAACTATACTCGGGGTCAACCTTTTTGCTCTAGGTTGTCAAGACTAGCGTAGTTCTCTTAGTGATGAGAAAAATGCTTGCGCGGGAGTTCTCAAATGAAACGCAAGACGAAGCAGCCCCGGGAAGTAAGATAGCCTTGACAACGTAGCACAGAAAGATGGACGACCAGTAAAGGCTCTTAATGAGTTGAATTACATTATAACGAGCTGAAACTCGTTACAGCCGGGCTAGCATTAATCAAGAGTTTGTGAATCACACGCTCGGTGTGAAATATATTTTTGTTATAAGAGGTTATTTATTCGCCCCTTCTTATGCCAGTGACTGTTAACAGATAAAAGTTCAAGGAAATGAGGAACTTTATAAAATTAGCGTGTATAAATCTAGCTTTGGGAAAGCAGGAGCGACGAAGTGAGCCAGCTACGTTGAGATGTAGATTCAACGCCAAGCTCGCTTCTTTAAAAACGTCCGCTCTGTGAATGTCGCTTCTCTGCAGCGCGCCTGTGCAATTAGAGGAGCGCATTCGACGGAGCTAAACAGCCCAGACTGCATTCGCGCAGAAGCATTTTGACTGGAATTCGCATCGAGATACGACCGCAAGTTACCGGGATATTCGCATGAATCGTAGAAACTAATATAAGGAATACGGATATAGCGGTAATTTTCAATTACATCCCAACATAACGTAATCAAACGCAACTGTGTGAATGGGCGTTTAGAAAAAGTTGATGACCAATGTTCACTACGTTATGAAATAATTTAATACTCGCCTTTGAGGCGTCTTTATTTTTTTTAATTGATTTCCCTTAACACGTGGTTTTACCTTAATCAGCTCTTTGCCATCCGCATTTCGTTCGTTCGTTATTCATAATTTGATTTGCTCCAAAACTTCGCAGGGAAAGCTCGGCACAGTTTCATGCAAATGCCAGAAGAGTTGCATCCCTGGACGATTTAACATGTAGCGCACACTTCACGTATTGTCTCGCTGCATTCATTTCTTTCGGGATTATTACGCCAGGTATATGCATGTGCACTGCGTTTCAGTGCGAACATGAGTTGCACTCTCTTTTTACATTTTAAGCTTTTCCCACGAATGAGCGCATTCTCATTCGTTAGTAGTTTTTGATTACAAACTCGAAATTTGTACGTCGCGTCGAACTATGTACGACGCGCCAGTGTAGGTAGTTCGAATGTTTCTTAATTGCAACTGGCAATGTTACATTCCAGCGGTGAACCCATGTGAAGATGCGGACTCAAACTACTGCAGTCCCTATTCGATGTGCACTTACCGTAAGCGGACCTTCAACATGACGTGCCGATGCCTCCCAGGCTACGAAGACGTATCCCCCGATATCCAAGGCTACGCTGGAGAACTTTGTTTTTGTAAGTTGCTCCTTTTAATGACTGGCGTCTGTCGAACAAAGTTTGCTGAATGCGCTGCAACGCACCCTGATCTTCTTTCAGCCATCTGTGAACCAGGCTTCTGCCAGAACAACGGCACCTGCAAGAGTACCGGCTTCGGCGTTACGTGCGAGTGAGTAAAACTATGAACGATGGGTCAATCTAACTAGTTCTTTAATTTTCACACACCAGGTGTGTGCGCATGGATGTTGAAAATGTGTAATGCGAAATCAATGAAGAGCACAAGTTCGTCCGCTTCTTTTGCAGGGGTTGTGGTGACGTCAGAACGCGGACTTCTGATTGGCTCTTATTGAAGGATAGTGGGTAGACCTCGTGGCAGCTTGCATGCTGTGAGGTCTACCCACTATCCTTCAATCGGAGCTCGGCGTTCTAACGTCACCACAACCCCTGCAAGAAAAAAAAAAAAGTAGACGGACTTGCGCTTTGCATTATTTTCTGCTTCCTTCGAAGTGGCCCTCGGTCGAATCGATTCATACAAGGCTTGCACTGAAGTCACGTCAGCTGCCATTGTGGTGGCGCCTTGCTGCTGAACACGTACCTTTTGCAGCCTACATTTTACGCTACCAACTTTTGTTTCGGCAAGAACAAGTGAGAATGATCTTTAGCATGGTGCGATGACACCACGTGCAAGTCATGTATACTCGCACAATCTCTTAGCTTCCTTGGATCTTGAGGCCACAGATGCGAGCGAATGCCTCTAAAGTTGCCGACCAATGGTCGCAACAGTAATGGGAAAACTAAGTAAAACCTTCTAAAGTAGTTGTTGCTGTGGTTCAGCATACTGTAATGCGGATGACCACAAGGTCATCTAGTTCAGAACATAACTGTACTTCAAGGCATTATAAACGAAAGCAATGGTGAGTCTTCGCGTGACCCGAGTTAAGTGTATAGAGTTTTCGTGGGCGGCGTGGTCTGGTCCGTGGACACGGAATTGTCATATCAAGTTCTGACTACTCTTAATCCTACTTTTATTGCGGCTTGCGACCTTGTGTGCAGATGCGGTGAGTGGTTCGTCGGGAACAAGTGCCAGTACCAAATGAAACGTGAGTATTCGCCAACAAATTGGGAGCGGAAATACATTAATCTTGTATTTCTGCACGCAGAGATTATCGTCATCGTCGTCATCATTGCCCTGGTACTTCTGACCGTGATCGCTGTTACATTCCACAGGTTTTGGAAAAGAGGGTGCGTACTGTCTGATAATCGTAGCAAGCAGTCGCCCAAAATTATTGCCCGGACGAAGGAAACAGTGTGTGGGGGCGAAAACGTGGGCAGGCTTTGAACACGATGGATAATCTAAACCGAACACCAACTTCCTTTTCCTAGCCCTTTAATAGCTTCTCCAATTGGTCATTATTCTACTCTTGTTGTAATGTACTGTGACGGACGCTACGAGCGATACGAGCCAATCCATCACACCACGCGTGTCATGTGACTTCAAATCCCGCGCCTTGAACTCGCCAACCGGAAGGTCACGTGACACACCCCAAGCTATTAGGGAGTTCTAGTAGATCGTTTTTCTCCTCCGCTACGGTGTCCCCGAAGAAAATGCCGCAGCTGCGCATGCGCGCCGCCAGCCTTGTCTGCATAGTTGAAGGTCTTGTGGCGGATTACGGAGCGCTATCCGGGTGCTTAGCGAGCTGCGGAAACGGTCTACTACAATTCCCCATTGATTGGCTTCCGTTCAGTCTGTTGCGGTATATCGTAAGGGCGTTTAAAAGTACGGCACTTGGGGGCCGTCACCTTGCTGTTGGAGTGTGTAGCGATAGTCAAACCTTGCTGTGTCCCTTGTTGCCAGACTGGCGCCCATACTATGAATGAATGCTAACGTCTCTACCGTTTATAACGGGCGGTAGCTTGCGCCACCTTCCCCTCTGCTATATCGTAACCAGCTGGTGTAGGGTATCCCCCGGATGACCTTTGGGGGGGGGGGGGGGGGGGGGCCGGAGGAGGGGGGAGAGGGGAGATGGGAAAACACGCAGCATTTTCGATCCACGGTGAATAAACTAGGCTTCTTCCAAGCATGGCTGATTGCAGCCCTCTGTACTAGAAAGCCTAGGCTTAAAAGCGGGAGCAGCTTGAACCGTAAAGAGCGTTCGCAATTTAATGGCGGATGCCTCCTGGACGGATTGGTCGCTAGTGAGCACATGCCTTGCGTTGTCGCGTGGAAAGAGCCGTTGAAAGCAGTCTGAAGACTTGGCACACTAGTCTGTAGCAGTGCATCTCCATTGAGTGTTTATTCGGTGCGCAACCCTCAAAGCGAATGCTCCTTGTACCTGTTTCAGACAAATTCACAAGTCCAACATGGTGTGTCGAATGCTCATCATTGAGCCGTCAAAAAAGAGGAACAGGAAATTCTACGAGCTGAGACTGGATTCAAGTTCACCCTTTCCATCTCCGGGCCCAGCGATCTCGCCGAACCATTTTTCGGTGCCAACAAAGGTGGCGGGATCTGAAATCCTCCGGAACACCTCCCCGATATTAAGCTAGAAGTCGCAATGTTTTTTTCTTTCTTTTTCTTTTCTTTCCTTTTACGCGTTACGACCATTGTTGTGCTACATATGAACCTTTATACATATATATATTTTACACACTTGCATGAGATGATGGCTGGAACTTTTTTCATTAAAGTTGCGGTGGCCACAGTACTATAGTCCTGCTTGTTTGTGAAATTGTGTTGGGGTTCGTTTCAGGTGGCCTTAAAGCCAGAGTATCTACAACTCAACATCCGATTTTCTTGGACAGTGCCATTTTGGTGTTTACTGCAGAGCGGGCGTTTGGGGCGAAGCCCCACGATTTCATTTAGCTACCTCCGATTTAACCCCCGTACTGATATCTATGGACAAAGGGTCTCAAACACGCGGCCCGCGACTCGCTGGGACGCGGGGTATGAGTCGCGGTTCCCATATCTCGAGCGCTAGAAATGACATGCGCCATAGTGATCTCGTCTCGCAGATTGATTTTCGCTCGAGAAGTAGCTCTGCTCTTTATGGTCCCTAGTAAGATCGACTGGCTAGTCTTCCGTTCGAACGCCTTTCTCCTCGCTTCGAGATGGCAGCGCCGTGGATGAAATTGCAAGGGGCGCTGCGCGCAGTCGGTGTGCCGTTGAAGCTGACCTTCCTCAGATACTTTCTTCAATCTCAACAAGCTTAATGAGAAAAGCACCGTTTACTTCTTGTGTCCTTGGCAAGGATAGATTTGCCTTTGTTAGGCTGTCAGGTGCATGCAGTAGCGATAACGACAAGCATACTCAAGTTCTTCATCCTTTTCCTTTTCCGCCTTTACACCAAAGCAATGAACGAGAGGGAGAGAACGACTGAGGCATCTGAAGGTCAGGAGGTGTAGATAATACATCTATGAAGTGCTCATTTGCTTGTGTTCGTCAGATTTTCTCCAGATTTCTTTTGTAGCTTGACTGCCATCTATCGCCGTGTAACTCGTCGGGACAGCGGAAACGGCCGTCTCTGCTGTCTTGGCGAATCCGGTATCTCGGTGCGTCGGCGGCAGCCCTGACCCCGGGCGCAGAGCGATGCGCGCGCGTTTTCTCGGACGCTGAAGGCGCTCTGTCTAATGCCAGTAGTATGTATTCTAAGTATTCCGGGCTCTGCTCCTTCAAAGGGTACGCGTAGCGCTTCGAGTGCTTACGGCGCTTGGACTGCGACAAGTCGCTTGCGGTAACTAAAAGTTTGTAACACTCGCTAATGTATCTGTAGACCTTTCCAACCGCTCATTTCGCAAGCGAGGAATGCTGTCGCAGGACTGTGGGCGCATACGCGAGGCGTCTCATTTCGTGGGGGAGAGCTACTGCGCACGCTCAAAACACCTTCGGCCAATTAAAGAAGCGGCATTTGACCATTCGTAGAAGGTTCTGTAGCAGACAAAATATTGGTTTGGAGCAGCCATTTGACGCTAACATCTGTTAACCTATCACTTGGAAAAAAAGAAAGACCGCATCGCTAAATTAGTTTATCCTCGATGTTGAATGAAGGTTCCCCTTTGATAGTGGATCATCTTACTTCTTACCTTTTTGCAATAATAGATAGGTCACAAAGAAAACACAGGACCTTATTTTTATTTATTTTTTTAGAAATAGGGCTTTGGTCAGAGTAGGTCCCATCTACAATGGGTACTAAGGAGTTTTGTTTGAAAAATAAATCATAGAGCAACACTTTGGTTGGGATAAAGCCTCTCTAACCTTCCAGTTTTACAACCGGTAGTTTATTTAGCCTATAAATATAATTTCTGTAAATGACAGGAAGAAAAAAAAAAACTGCATATCCGCTAACAGGTTTACCAATTTCAATATCAGGAGTTTTATGAACCTACCAAATTCAGAACTCGAATATTATAAACTGCGAAAACAACCACCCACAAATATGAAAACCTACGTTTGTGCTTTGAAAGTGACACTACTCTTTCGAAGCGTTGGAGCCGGAGTGAAGTCGAAGTTCGCTGCTCTTTCGATCGGCAGCTGCACGGGAACAACCTTGACTACCGCATTCAAAAATAAACCTGCATTTTTTTAATGCCTTAACAGTCTCATGGAGCAGGCTGACGTCATCAGTTTGAAGAGCGAAAACGGCACCTAGTTTCCTTCAGTTCCATTGGCTGGCGCGCGTCGACGGGGCTCCCATTGGCCGCTGCGCTCGTCAGTTTCCACGACCGCTCACCCCACGGCGCTGCGTGCCCAGGCCGTGCCCAGCCCCAGGGGAGCACACGCGCTGACCGGCGACGAAAAATACGCAGCAGACGAAAAAGGGAGCGGACGGGCGGCTTGCATGCTTTCGCATTTACAACTCGTAAGGAATGCTTAGGTAAAGCATATAAAATAGCGCAACAGAAACAAGGACAAGTAAACAGGACAGGCTTAGGTGTACCTCAATATGTTTTTTTTTTTCTCAGCCCAGTTAAAATGTTCCTTTTTAAATTAGAGATGAACGTATACAATCGAGACCAAAGACCGTGGATTTTTAATAGTACAAAATCCGATTTCCCAGCGTATGTCGCGCTAACCCAAACGTTCACCCGTCAGCCGCTGCTCATAGCACTCCGGCGTAAAGCGGTGAAGCGCGACGCGAGCGCGCTGGAGAGGCGGCACGGAGTCACGCGGCAGACATGCTAATCAAGTAATTTCATACGGAGTACAGGACCTTGGTTCTGTCTTATGACAGTAGCCGCCATCCTATTATTTTGCAGTGTTTTCTCGAGACGTTTATCTCCTCACATCGCCGACATCATCTGGAAATACAGACGATGTCGGCGATCACACCCCGTCAGCGCATCAACCAGCAAGCGCAGTTGACGAGCAATGTCTATACTTCGTTTTACCCCTATTTAAAGCGCAGCCGACAATACGAGTCAATGGGACCAACCATCCAGCGTCGAAGCACGACATCATGGCATTCGTCTACTCTAAACCGTATGCCTCCGCCCAAACAGACCCTCTGAGGAGAGACGCTGTGAAATACATAGTTGTACAAGTTTACATTCCTCCTATTTCTCTGCATATTAGAGTCGACCACCAATAAAGTTTTTTGAAGTTTTACTTTTCAGCTCATTTCGGCGCAATTCTGAGCAAAAATGGCAATCTGGCGCAAGATGCAGCACACTTTCGTTCATGCCGCAATCTGGTGCTGCACTTCTATTACTGCGTTTCACAGCCCAGCAAGCAAAGATGGCAACCCACAGAAAACGGTTAGGTATTGAAAAGGTGCCATCTTTTCACCCTCCGTCGCATGGGCGCTGCCATCTTGGAATCGCATATCTTTAAATTGTCGCTCTCGACTGGTATTTTTCCTAAAGGTATGCAGATAGCTAAGGTGTCTGTCTTACACAAGTCCGGAGACAAAAATAATATGTTAGACCGATCTCAATATTGCCTGTTTTCATGTGAGGCCTAATAAGCTTTGAGAAAAAAAAATATGATGCTTCTGTGAGACCGATCTCAATATTGCCCGTTTTTTCCAAGGGTTTCGAGAAAGTTATTCATGTTAGGCTTAATAATTTTTGTGAAAAAATATGCTACTAACAGATTTTCCAGATGGTTTTCGGAAAGGTCGCTCTACTGAACTGGCTCTTTTACAGCAAAAAGAAATCATCTTAAACATTATTAAAAACAAGTGTCTAACCTTAGGAATATTTATTGATTTTTCTAAAGCCTTTGACCGGCTGAGTCATAAAGTTATGTTAGAAAAACTATTCTTATGGAATTCGAGGGCATTCCCTGGCTCTTGTGGAAAACTGCTTGAGCTTCCGGCATCAAACTGTTCAAATAAACGGATATTCTTCAATGCTGAAAGCATTTCGGACAGGAGTACCTCAAGGTAGTGTCTTGGGGCCATTGCTGTTTAACCTATTTATAAATGATATAGTTACTATTACAAGTAAGGCCTCATTAGTCATTTATGCAGATGATACCAGTATTTTTTTTTTCAGGCAAAGACATTGACAGTCTAGTTAACGATGCAAATATATGCCTAGAAAAACTTAGTTGGTGGACTGCTTCCAATTCTCTAAAAATTAATTAAAGTAAAACAAATGCAATTATCTTTAAACCGAAAGGTACAGTGTGTAAGGCCACCACAAACTTAAAGGGACCATGAAATGACTTTTTTACTTTTTCCACATAACTTTTACAATAAACCGTCAATGTTCACTGAATGCCGAACAGGCATCCGTTTTCGTCTCGGTTTATTAACTTCTACACAAAAAATTAATGAAATATCGACTTTTTCTTGACCGCAAAACAAGCCGTGACGTACGATGTTTCCGGAACCGGAAGTTCTCTCTGCAGTAGGAGATGGGAGCGTTAGCGAGTTGGGGTGCGCCGGTGGGTTTTACTGCGCCGATGTCACCGACGTATTTTCTGAATCGGCGCCTCTCATCGCCGCATCGCAGCTGAACGAAATTCAATGAGATACGTTGCGCTACAGCGACAGCATGGGACTAGTCCCATACGCCGGTATGCCTGTTGGGAAGTGCAGATGGGAACAATTTGCCGCGGCGTTTTTCGCGGTCTCGGAGATGCAGGAGCGAGCCGACGTTAAAAAAAGATACGTTTGAACTGTCAGCAAGAGCCACGTAAATACCTGTTCACACTCGGAGCGGACGCGCGCGTTTGATGAAGTGCTGTATTCGCGCTGTTGGTAAGCGCTTCGGGACCGATCTTTTACAATTGCAACTCGATACTGACGCGACACTCGGCAAAGAAAGGTTGGACCGGTATTGCACGTATACGTCCCACGAACTGTTACAGCTCGACAGTGACGTGCAGTCTGTCAGAATAAAAATGACATACCAATAACAAAGTGTACATACCGTGCTACGAAGGTAATCCATACAGCGTTTATTTCAGCTCTATATCACACAAAACAAGGAGAGGATAGACGAGGGTCCCTTTTCGACGAGTGTTCGTCAACACTGCCTCGGAAAACAAGGGGAAGAGATTGACCTCACCTCTTAACCTAAAATTGAGGTCAGCGATCAAACTA